GGACGAGGATCCTGCTATTTAACGTGATTTCACATGACCGACAGGCATCGAATCACCCTTAAAGTGCTGCCACCCAACTGTCTGTCGTGGCGCGGGCAGCTGCTCGAGGCCGTTCCGGGGATGTGACGTGATCATTCCTCTGCTGTGTCGAGGGCATCATGTGCGCAGTCTCGGGGAGGGTGATTCATTGGTATGCCGACGAAGGTGCAACCAGTCCCAGCTCCCGCCGGAGAGCCAGTTCCGAGGTCTGAAAGGACGGTGCAGAAATTCCCCCGGAAGTGAGGACGATGGGCACCAACATGCCCCCTCCCCGTATGAGGGATTAGACCATGTCTGGTCATGGATCTGAAAGTGGGGGAGGTTGTCTTCTCAGAGAGAGAGAGAGAGAGAGAGAGAGAGAGAGAGAGAGGGCCCACGTTTTTTTCTGACAACTACTCCTGGGCGAGCATCAGTGCTGGTACACCCCGCCCCCTGCCCCCTCCCCGGCCAAGAGCGTGTGGGTGTGGGAATGGTCCTTACTCCCCCGAACCATGGCCTGGGTGGCGGTGAGAAACTATTCCTAGGCAGGGAAAGGTGCTGGGAAGCTCCATCAGAGGCAGGACGCGTGAGCTGGTCGGGAGGGGGGAAACTCGCTCGTCGAAAACGTGCGCACGCCTTTTGAGGCCCTCCGATGGGTCCTGAGCCGCACATGCCCTCGCGCGCGTGCGACGCACAGGCCTCGGCCCCGGGTGATGAGAGCCCCGCATTACTCTGCCCCCCTTCCAAAATGCCAGCCTCCAGGAACGAGGTCCGAACACCGGACGAGCTCCCCCGAACCCGCGCACAGTCCGACAAAGTGCCCGGAGAGGTCTGGGAAGCGTTCAAGGGGGCTTCACATGGAGGGGGCCTGCTGCATTTCGCGTCCTCGCCAGCCCCGTCCCCCGTCCCCTCGCCCCGAAGAGGCAGGCGCGCGGCAGCGGCAGCACGAACAGCAGCGGTGGCAGCTGATGTGCTGAGCACGTTTTTGGGCAGGGGGAAGCAGGGGCACAAGGAGGGGCTACAACACAAGGAGCGAGGCTGAGAAGAGGAGACGAAACACCTCCACAGACACACACACACACATACACACACATACACACACATACACACACACACACACATACACATGCACATACATACACCGTGAGGCAAAAAGAAGGGCAGGGAGGCAGAAGGGGGAAAGAGAGGGAACGAAACAGAGGATGAGCACGGAGGGAAGGAGATGTTGTTTAAAAAAGTTTCTGGTTTTTATTGTTTTTCGGTTCTTTGCGGGTTTTAACTTTTTGGTAGCAGCAAACGGAAAAATTTATGCACGAGGGGGCAGAGGAGACGCCCTATACTTCCCCCCCTCCGCGACCGGTAATGCGCGAGAGGAGGAGAGAGGGCTTGATCGTACACCATCGAGGTTACGAGTTTTCAGAGGAGGGGGAAGGGAGAGTATGGTACAATTCTGAAGGTTTGGGGGGTTTTCTGTAGAAAGAGAGGGAGGCGCGCGCTCGGCACACCACCGCCCGCCCAGCCCCCACATATCCACACGCACACAGGACCAGCCTGAGGGAGAGGGGGGAAGGGGGGGGGGGTATCCGTGGCGGGAAAGTGCACGGCGGCGAGGAGGAGAGCGGGCGGCAAGGCAACGCCCAGAGGACGTTGAGCATCGGTGCGCGCGCACATTCCGAGGAGAGGGATTTACAAATACAACTGGCTTTTGGGCGCCAAGGGGGAGTTTTCTCGGTGGAAGCCGTCCGAAGGAGAGAAGAGAGAGAGAAGCAGCAGGTGCAGAACGAGGTGGTGTGCAGGCGGCGGGTCGTGGTCCGGCTACACTCGAAGCACGTGAGCGGTCTGTGGCAATGGGGGAGGGGGGTATGGCGAGCAAGCAGGAGGGGATGCCCTCTGTTTGCACACGTGCCCCCCCCACCATCGAGCGAAGACGCTTTCTGAAGAGAGGGAGAGGAGGAGGTGGACACTGGGAGAGTGCCACATGTTCGAAACGGCGGAGGCGCGATTTTTGGAGGAATTTTCAAAGAGAAGAAGAAAAGCTGCTACGACGAGAGGAAAGAGGGGGGACGGAGAGGGAAGCCAAGCCCCGTGAGTGTGTGCGGGAGGAGGCGGCACCTCGCACTTAGCGACGGCGAGAGCGGACACCCATCATCTGCTGGCCGCAGGACACGGTCGGGGAATTGACAACATGGACGAAGAGCTTGCCGGCGCGCTTCTTGGCAAACTGGTTGAGCTTGCGCAGCTCCTCCGGCGGGAAGGCCACGCGGTTGCGAGGCTCGAACTCGAGGAAGTGGCCGTTGTCAAAGTAGACGCAGGCGCGGGAGAAGGTCGAGTTGCCGGTGGTGGCGTAGGAGAGGGCCTGGCGCGAAGGGGCCGGAGCCGGGGCCGGGGCCGGGGCCGTGATGGGGGCCGGGGCGGCGACCGGCTCCGGGGCCGAGGAAGTCATCTCCTGGTCGGCGGCCGGGGTGGAGGTCGCCAGGAAATGCGCATGCAGCTGGCTGTGCAGCATGCGCATGCGCTCCTGCTTGTTGAGCTGCTCCTGCTCGAGGAGGTCGCCAACAGTGGGCAGGGGAGCGAGAGCCGGGGAAGAGGAGGCAGAGCTGAGGAGGAGGGAGGCCATGGCTGAAGAGAAAGGGAAGGAAGAAGAGAAGGAGAGTAGGGAAGAAGGGGGGGGAGGGGGGTGGACAGCGCAGGCTCGATTGGGGGGGGGGGCGGGGAGGAGGGGAGGATGCAGCTGAGAGGGCCGACCCTTTGGAGGAGTTCCAAGGCAGGGGGCTTATATACCAGGGCCTTTCACCAATGGAGGACCGATGTGCTCTCGGGGGGCCGGCGGAGGGGGCGGGGAGGAATGTGTAGTCCCCTCCCCTCCGCCCAAAGGGGGGGCACCGTTCCGCCCCCCACACCGGCCCCAGGGCCCCGGTAGCGCGCCGAAGCCCATCCTGCTTCACTTGGCGCCAGGCACCGTCGGCCGGGGCGCCCCCTCGGCGGCTTGTCTCGACAGCCCCCCGGGGCGGGCCGGAGCCGGGGGGGGGGGGGGGGGGGGCGCGCTCTCGGAGAGGGAGCCTTAGTCTCTTGTTTGCCCGTTGGCCCCTGTCCAACATCAGCCGGGGGCAGGGGAAATCATTTCGCGCTTCGCCCGAGGCGCACACACAGACGCACATTCGGAACGAATGGTCCTCGTAAACACGCCCGCCCCCGGGTGCCGGGGGGGGGGGGGGCGGTGGGGGGGGAAACGGCGCCGGAGGGCGGCCCCGGGCCGGTGGCGCAATGACAACAGCTCGCCAGGTGGCCCCGGCAGCTGGAGCCTTCCGGCACGCGGGCTGGCGCTGGTGGCCCGTGGCACGAACCCCGCCGCCCCCGATGAACGACAGCCTGACCCTCTGGAAGGTGCCGGACTGATGACCGTACTCTCTCGGGCGTGAAAGCGCCCGGGTGCCGGCTCACCAACAGACCGGCGCCCGGGACGAGGGGGCAGGGAGAGATGACAACCGCTTGCCGAGTTTCGATGTCCGGCATCGGGGTGTCGACCGGTGCCCACCGGGCGAGTGACACCCCTCGCGCCCCTGGGCGGCGTGCCGGCTGGCGGGCGCACAATAGCGCCGGCGGTATGTGTGCGTGCGCGCGTGCCTGTGCTGCCGTTGGCGGTGACTGCGCCCGGCTCCACCGGGTGCAGGGAGCCCGAGCTGGCATGTGCCCCCCCGCCCCCGGCTCCGGCCCGCGCCGGGAGAGGCGGAGAATCCATGGCTTGACATTAGACGCCGGAGCGGGCGGCCCTTCTTGGGGCAAACCACCGGCCCTTCGCGGCCTGGTGGCCATGATCAAGCGAGCCATCACCGGCCTCCAGGCCCTTCATGCGGCTCCGACCAGGGCCCCCTCTACGGGGCACCAGTCCGACGGCACCCGGGCTCGATATCCTTCGCCAACACGAGAAAGCCGGCTAAACGTGCGGCTTCCCCAGCGTCCTCGCAGGGCAGCATGGTCCCCCCGGCCAGTGGTGCTCCTTTGCCAGACGATGTTTCCCGAAGACGCTGGCCGGCACGGCGATCTTCTCGAAGGCGGCCGGCTGCCGGCGGACCACGAAATCCATTCCTGCCATCAACCCGCACATGTTGTGGCCGGCACTTCCGGAAACTTCCCGGTGAGTCGGCGGCCCGAGAGGCACACATGCGGGGGGGCTATGGCTAGTCGAGTTCCCTCACGTCGGGGCGTCTGCTCGGCCACAGCCGGGGCCTCTCAGGCTGGGCCTTCGTTCCGCTGGGCCTCCTCCACTGGAGCAGGACGTGACCCCCCCCCCCCCCCCCCCCCTCCCGCCGGTCACCCTCCTGACCCATGAGCTCGGTCCTCCCAGAGCGCGGTGCCCTTTCCCCTCGGTGGACTCTCCCGGCTTCTCGCTCGGGGGGAGGGGGATCGGCACCTGTTCCCCACTCACCTGGTCGACCAGGCCCCCGCTGCGGGGCCCAGATGCCGAGAGTGGGGGAGGGGGTGCCCCGAGAAGGTCGGGGCGCCCGGCTGCCGAGCCCCTCCCGGGGCACGGACGGGGTCCCGACTTCGAAGGGGCTCCGAGGGGGCGGGCAGGGGGGGCGGGGGGAACCAGAAGCCACGAAGGCAAAGGGCACGCCCGGATGACCGAGTCATGCGTCCAAGGGCACCAGGGCAGGCCTTGCGCCCAAACAAGAGGAAGACATTCCCCCCCCCCCCCCCCCCCCGAGACCGCCGGACAAACACTCGGGCAGGGAATGACTCGGCCGCCCAGCCGAGCAACATGTTATGGGGGATACCCCGCACCCACCCAGGGCAGGGCATGGCAAAAAAACGGCAGCACCCGCGGGACACATTCTCCCTCCCCCTTGCCCTGGGCCATGGGGCTGGGTCGACGAGACACATGGAACAATGATCGCCAACGCAAACACGATCAGGGCACCGATCGCCCCTGCTCGGCACGTTTCCGACCACGGGAGGCTGGTCGGCTCCCGACCTGCCGCACATTTTGGATCCAAGGATTTTGGATGTATTCTGCACCATTAGACTATTTTCAGATTATCCATGTGGCGATCTGGTGAAAACCAGTGTCAATACACGTGGTATTTGATTTTGAAATGACATTCTTTTCCTGGCGAAGGCATCTCCCTGGAGACTTCCCCCTGACGAAAGGCCGCCGCCGCAGGGCGCTCCCCCCCCCCCCCCCCCCCCCCCCCCAGGAAAACTTCCTCGCGGCCATCTTGACCTAGGCGGCCACGCCCGGGTCCGGCCCCTGGAGGAATAGGGCCCGCACACTTATGCGCCGCCGACACGCATCCGTGCAACAACGGGCCCACGATGGGAGGTGGTCGAACACCAAGGGTCTCGGGGCACGACGCGCCCATGGCACAACATGCGCGCCACCAGGCTGGAGATCTGCGGGATTAATCCAAGACGAACTCCAGTCCCCATCGGTCAACCACTGGTTCCCGTTAATTAGGGCGCACTCCTCCGGAGGGGGGGGGGGGGCGGTGCGGCGCCCTCCCTGAGAAAACGGGCCAAGTTCCCAGGTGTCTCCTGTCCGCCCCGAGGCTGCGGCAGGGAGGGCCTGGGGAACCGGGAAGGTCGAACCGGGTTACGCCGGGGCATTTCCCGAACAAGGTGTCTCCTTCGGTCCCGGAACGCTCCGCCCGACTGGGGGTTAACCGCAGCCGGGGAGCCCGCCCTCTCGGCACCGGACTCCCACCACCGACCGATGCGCCGCTCGGGCCGATTCATCGCGGGTGATCGGCAGGGGGGGGGGGGGAGGGAGGACCAGCATAATGACAGGTCAGAGTACGTAGGAGGGAGCTAATCAAAAGGTAGACCGTTCCGCCGCGTCGGCTTCAAGGCGACCAGCCCTTCATCGAGATTGGGGCGGGCGGTGGCTATTATTATATATTCTGACTACTTGTTTTAATCCATATACTCGCTTGATCGACCTTTGGGTAGATTCCCTGCCTGAGTTCTCTTTCCCCCGGGTCCCGCGCACCACCCGGCCCCTGGTTCCCTAGGCAGGTGCCTTTTTGGGCGGGAACATCGACCCGCGTGTCCCCTTTTCCCGCCCACCTCGCCGGTATTTTATGAACCCGCGCGCGTGGCAGCGAACGGTGTCCGAGCGCCCTCCTGAACGGGGCAGTTGTGTGGTTTCTCGTTCGCCCCTAAACTGCGTTCCTATGGCAGGCCGCGGGGCAGAGTTTATCAACAGAGTTACCCCGGTCCCCGGTGTGCTCGTCTCGAGAGGTCGAGTGGGGGCCGGGGGGGGGGGGGGGGGCGAGTCGGGAACAGCGCGGGGGCTGGGGGAGGGGATATGGTTAAAGCCCCCTCCTCCTCGAGGCAGAAGGGCCCCGGTCCCACGTTCCCGGGCGGATTACCTCCGCGTACACGCACAACAACGACGGGGGGAGACCTGTCCGTGCGTGGTGCGTGTGCGGCTGCTATTAACTCCTTGCGCTCCCGGGTGGGGGGTGGTAACCCATGGTGTGTAGGGCCTTTCTCGTTTCCGGGGCCTCTCCCTGCATCCTCTGTCCTTGTGTCTTGCTCGTGCTTTTTTTTTTCCCGCCCTTCCCACTTCAAGCACCGTGCATTTCTGTGTCCCCCGGAGACCCGGTGGAATGTTTCGCCGGGAGATCCAGGCCTGGTGGATGCCTGGCTTGGGCTCGGGGAAATCCTGACGCATTCGTGCGCCCTTCGCCCCCCCCCCCACCCCCCGGAAAAGTGTTACTTCCCCCCTTCCCCCCTCCTGTTAATAGCCCCAACTGGGATGCTTAATTTAATCCGGCTGCCCTCCGCCCCCCCCCCCCCCTGTTGCCTGTTGTCTCGCCGCCTCGCCGCCTCTCGCCGGCGTAGCTTCTTCTCGGACCCCGCTCTTCTTGGGACCCTGGTGCTTCGGCATAGTCCGTCCCTCCCTGGCCCTGCATTCCTCCCCCCTCCCTCCCTCTTCTTTCTCCGCATTCTTGTCCTCCTCCCCTCGCCGCTTCTCGGTCCGGGCTCTCCTCTCCTTCAGCTGTCACGAGCCGCCGGCGTCTCGTGCTCACCTTTTCTGTTGTGCGTTCCCCGCCCTGCTTGGCCTGCCTGTCTTCTGCACCCACCGAGCCGAGATCTCTGACTCCCTTTTGGCCTGTGTGTGCGCACTCCCCTTCTGGTCGACAGATGAGTGCCACCGGGGCGCCGCCTCCGATGGCCTACGGCTACCCGATGGCCCCGCCGCATATGGCATACCCGGCGCCACCGGGCACTCCGGCTCCGGCCGGTGCGGCCACTCCGGCTGCCGGGCCCAGCACCCCGGCCCCGGCGCCGCACCCGGGTTACTATCACCCCCCACCGGGGTACGGTCCGCCCCCGCCGGCCAGTCCTTCCGGTGCGCTCCTCTTTTTTCCTCGCCTCCCCCCCTCCCTCATCCACTTGTTTATATGACTTTTCTGACGCATCTGTGCCTTGATTCCCAGGTGTACCTGCTCCAGCTGGGGCTCATCCTCAGGCGCCGCACATGGCATATCCCGGCTACCCCGGTCACTACATGTACCCGATGATGCCGCTGCCACCGGCCGCCCCGGCGCCTGTGGCTGCAGCGACTCCCGCTCCGGCTGCCCCCGCTGTCGCAGCGGCGGATGTCACACCGGCCGCCGCGCCGACTGCCACACCGGCCGCCGCACCGGCCGCCGCGCCGACTGCCACGCCGACCGCCACGCCGGCCGCCACGCCGGCCGCCGCACCGGCTGCCGCACCGGCTGCCACGCCGGCCGCCACCCCAGCTGCTGCTGATCCTGCAGCTGCCGTCGCTCATCCGCCCCACATGCCAGGCTACTATCCTGGCTACCATCCATACATGTCCTATCACCCGGGCTACCCGCCCCCAGGACCTCCGCCTCACGGCTATCCCGGCTATGGGGCAGCCCCCGCAGCAGCGCCGACCACCGTTCCTCCTGCTGCCTCTCCCTCTTCGCCTACTACCCCGGCTCCGGGTGTTGCCCCTGCGGCGGCGGCGGCGGCGGCGGCTGCTGCTGCTGCCTCGCCGGCTCCCGGATCGCCAGCTGTTACACCCATGTCGGCGCCCATGTCACCGGCACTTGCGGCCAGCGATGCTGCGGCGGCCTCTCCGGCGTCGCCGGCCCCGATGTCTGTTCTCACGTCTCCCGCGGCTGAGAGTGCCACCTCCACACCATCCCTCCCGGCTGTCAGCTCGCCAGCCGCGCCAGGCACGCCAACGGCCGCGCCTGCTACTCCGGCTGCGCCTGCTGCTCCGGCGGCTCCGACTGCCGCACCTGCCGGCCCTGCCGCCGTACCTCCCGGCTATCCTCCCTATGGCTATCCGGCTCCGTATGGCTATCCCCCGTATGGGCATCACCATCCTGGCGCCCCGATGCCTGGCTATGGATACCCGCCGCCGGGGGCTCCGCCTGGGCACATGCCCATGGCCGGGTATCCTGGGTATCCGCCGCCCCCCCCGGGCGCTGGTTACCATCCAGGCTACCCCCCGCCTGGGTATCCCGCACATCCCGGGGCTCCGTACATGCACGCGCCTGCGGCCACTTCGGCCACGGGTGAAGCCGCCGCCGCGGCAGCGACACCCGCCACCAGCGGCACCCCGGGGACCCCGGCCTCGCCGGCCAGCACCCCCACCGCCGGGGCGGCTGCTGCTCCCGGAGCTGCTGCCGCCACGCCTCCCACTGCTGCCGCTGCTGCTACTGCGGCTTCCATGCCTCCAATGGGCTATCCCCCGATGGGGGGATATATGCCGTATCCCGGTCCCTATGGCCATCCGGCGGTGTATGGTGACCCGGCAGCCGCTGGGATGATGCCCGGCATGCCGATGCATGCCTATCCCCCCGGCATGTACCCGGGCATGGTGCCACACCACCATCCAGGCATGGCCCAGGCCTCGGCCATCGGGGCAGCAACACCTGGGCCCCTGTCCACGGCCGCGGTCCCTGTCGGTGGCACCGGGGCCACTCCCTCGATCGCCAAGCCAGATGCGGCGGCCACCGGTGAGGAAAGCATTCCCCCCCTGGAGGCGGGATCGGCGGCGGCCGTGGCCGCGGCCACGGCCGCCACCGGAGATGCCGCCACCTCGACATCGACCGACATCGTCCTGGCAGCGGCCTCGGATGGGGCTCCTCAAAAGCGCCGGCGCGCCCGCCGGAGCAATGTCGATGGGAGCTCCGCCGGCGCGCCGGCCCCGCGCCGGCGTCGGACCGCCGCCGAGGCGGCCCTTTCCACGGCTCCTTCCTACCTGACCGAGCGAGTAATCGATGCCGCGGCGTCGGCCCTGGAGCAGCCGGCCGCGCGTCGGCCCGAGCCCCGGCGCCGGGGGATTGGGCTGATTCAGCCCTCCAACTTCCGCATCTACTCCGGGCCGTTGGATGTGTGTGTGTTGGTCCTGCGGCATCAAGGGATGAGTGGGCGGCATCCCGTGCGCCCGGATCTCTTTTATTATCAGGCTCGGGTGCGGAATTTCTACCCCCAGCGGCATCTGTGGGCCGGGTGGGAAACCAAGCAGGGCATCATCAATCGGGTTCACAGCGTGCGCGATGAGTTCCTGCTGAAGCTGGCCGGGATGAATATCCCGGTGCCGGATTCCCTGGACTATGTCATGAAGACCATCCGTCGGACTGGGTCCTTCTCTGTGCCCCTGAGTGAGGAATATCCGCCGCGTATGGATGCGGCGGCGATGGCGGCGGCGGCCGCCGAAGCAGCGACAGCAGCAACAGCAGCAGTAGCATCGACGGACCCGACGGCCGTGGTCCCGGCAGCCCCGGGAACGCCCGTCCCCTTGGTGGCGCCGGCTCCCGGTCCCGAGGCGAGTGGTCCAGTGGCCGCCGGTGGTATCGTGCCGATCGAGGGCACTCCGGCAAATGTGGAGGATGACCTGCTGAAGCGGGCCGCGAGCAGCACCCCCCCCCTGAGCAGCAGCACGGCGACCACGCCGGTGGCGCTGGCGGCGACGGCGGCAGCCGCCACCCTGGCCCCGACACCTGGTATTTGTGCGCCAGGTGCGGCGCCCGGGGCCGGGGCGGATGGGACGTCCATCAGCCGGGCAGCCGTCTTCATGCCAGCGACCCATCCTTCTGATGGGTCGGAGGCCGTGGCCTTCGCCCAGGCCCCACATGCGATTCCCCCGTCGCCGCATTCGGCCATCATGCAGGCCACTCGCCGGCATACGGTGGCCAATGCCCTGGCGGCCATTCCCTCGTCATCGGTGAGCGCCTCGGCAGCGATCGCGGCGGCCGTTGACGCGGTCAAGGCGGCAAGTGTTCGTGTGTCTCATGACTCCTCAGCCGGGGATGCTTCTGTGGCTCCGGAACCATTGTCGGCCGGGCTTTTGGTTGCGCCATCGGCTTCCGCTTCGACTGCTCGGGCCCCGTCGACGGTGGTCTCTCCTGCCGCGGGGGACATGGCCGCCTCGGTCGCTTTGGTCGCGCCTGGGGCGGCTGCTTCCTCGGCGACGATCATGGTTGGTGCGACCGCGGGCCTGGGTGCGGCGTCGGCACTCCCGCCGGCGCCCTTGCCGCCTGATGCCTCCGCAGTGACGGCCATGTCGGCTGGCGGTGTGGAGACCGGCGAGGCGGCTGCCGCCGAGGCGGCTCCCTCGGCCGAAAAGGGTGGCGTAAGTGCTGTGCTTGTGGCGGCCGCCGCAGCCGCCGCGGCAGCCGCTACCTCCTCCCCCTGAGTGGCGGAAATTGCTGTCCCCCCCCTCCCCCGGGACATCCTTCTATCCCCCCTTATTCCTCTTCTTCCCGCTCTGTCCTCTTGAACTTGGGCTGTGCCCCGAGCGTGTCGAGCATGTCCTTGTTTCGGCTATCCCCCGTCCCCTCCTCTTTCTCCCTCTCACCATCCGCAGGGGTCCCGTGGTTTGCGCCTCATTTGCTGGGTGTGTTCCCGTTTCCCACAACCACCAGAGGCCCTCGCATGTGCCGTGTCATCTCGAGCAGGCGCCACAGGTGCTGCGCAACCACCTGCCTACCTCCCCTGTCGGGGGGCCTGCGTGTGTTTGCGTCGCCGGACGTTTGTGTGTACATCTTCTCATTGGTGAAAAATAATATCTTGTCTTTTGTCCTCTCTCTCTCTCTCTCCATCCCCATCTGCTTGTGCGTATACGGTGGGGCGGTCCCCGGAAGGGGAGATGGTTCAGATAGGGACCCATGTGGACTGGATGGGGCACCTCCGCCTGAAAGGGCCGCGAGGGGATCCCTTTCGCATGGCAGTGATACTGCGCTTTGTCCGGGGCTCGCGGGCGGGTGGGGGGGACTCCTCGAGCTGACTGGAGTGTGGCTGCTTGGCTGGGAGTAGTGTACGTGCCTGGTCGGATGCGCGAGTCTGGACTGCGGTGGCTGGCGGGGGTAGAAGGGGGGGGGGGGGGGGGGGGCTTGATCGGTGAGTCAATGGTGATGCATGAAGAGCACCTCCGCAATGCGTGTGTCATCTGTCCTGAGCCCGAGGCCCCTGGGCCCTGTTGATATTCTGACATGCGTGAGCATTCTCTATTATCCTAGGGGTGTGTACAGGGTCTTAAGCAGGGGGGGGGGCAGGCGCGCAGGGATGTTTGTGGGGTCAAGGCACCCCCCCCCCCACCCGGGGATTTAGGGACTCCCTGGCACGGGGGGACATGTTACAGCTTGTCTTGGGGGTAGTTGTCAACGTGTTAGCCCGTACAGTGTCCTTGCTGAATGCCGGATGGTAGCACGAGGTAGGGTGGCGACACCTTCTCTCGGCCCAGGGTGTGGCGCTTTCTCGGCAAGGCTGGATGGAATGGATGCGGTGGACATGGTGCCGCCCCGAACGCCCCGTCGGCGTCGGGGCTCCGCTCGCCTCCTCCATCCTTGCTTCACCTCACCGCACTCGGTTCATTAGCCTACACTTCGCCTCTTGTCCAAACTGGGACACGCCCTCGACGTGATCGAATGGCGAGGAGATCCTCTTTCCCCCCTCCCTTCCTCTGAGGGAGGGTCTGGGCACAGACTCTCGTCGATGCGAGCCAGTCCATCTCATTCCCGTCCCTTTCCCATGTATCTCCTGGCGACCGGGTGCTTCGCTTGAAGGGCCCCGACTCTCATCTTCCCGCCAATGTTTCGGCACCTTGAAGGATGGCCATTCTCTTCGCGGATGCTGTGACTTCCCGTTGTTCTGCCTCGGAACGTCGTTCCGCCCGGGGCGGCGTGGTTCGATTGCTGATGTTCCCCCGAAAAAGATGGAGATCCCCTACTCTCGTCTTTTCTTGTTGCTGTTTCTTTGTCCGATTGGTGTCCCTCTCTCAGGACGGAGCACTTCAGGTGGTTCGAAGGGAAGCCCACCGGTCCCCCTCGAGACTCATGTCTGGGCAGAGAGCCTACTTAAGCAAGATGTTGGCTTGAGTCGCCATGACTAGTCCCGATTAGTATAGTGGTGAGAATCCCCGCCTGTCACGCGGGAGGCCCGGGTTCAATTCCCGGATCGGGAGTATCTTTTTTGAAATCGGACGCTCGTCCCCGCCGACGCCCATGCTTGAGTTCTCGACGAGAACGGGGGGGGGGGGGTAGATGTCTCCTTGCAAAGAAGATCAAGAAGCCTCGGGGGGTGGGTCCCTCCAGAAGGAGACCCCGCTCGGCGTTTGTCGGGGGTGTGCTGATGATAACGCCCTTCGCGGGAGCTGGGATTGTTTTTCTTCTCGATTGCGGGGGATGTTGGTTATGTGGAGGTCACATCGACGTGCGCTTTCTTTTGCCGGATCACCCGGGGCAGGGCATGCGAAAGGCTGCGCGTTCATGGCAGGTGTAATCCCCGAGGGGGGCCGGTGGCCGATTCGAGGATCGCTCGGGGGCATTCCATTCCGAGGGGGCCGATGTGCAGGGGAGACACACTAATGGGAGGGGGGCAGCGGGGAAGTTGCTAAGAGAGCCCCCTGGCACGGACAGTGTCGCTCGCGTGGGGAAGGATGGGCAGGGACTGGGCAAGGCATGGGCCGACAGGCTTGTCAGCGTGTGGCTAAAGCACTTACCCCACAGGAGAGGGGAGGAAGGAAGAAGGACTTCCCAATTGAGGGGGGATCCGGGAAAGAACGGAGCCGCAGGCTGGGAAGCAGGGGACGAGCACGGAAGGCCCCTCACGAGGCGTGTACGGGGGCAGGCCCCCTGTTCCTCCAAGGGACGGTGAGATCAAGATCCCCTCGGGAGTCTTGGGGGCACGCGAGCAGGGACACTGACGAAAGAGGGCGATACGCTGGCTTTGGCTGGCGGGGCCGGGAGGGGTGTGGAGACCTAGACCGGGGCGGGGGCGGCATGGCGGCTGGTGGCTGGGTTGCGTGAGAGAGTGGAGAAAATATATACCCACGACAGCGGTCCATCTCCAACATGGGGGCGTAGCTCAAATGGTAGAGCGGCCGCTTAGCATGCGGCAGGCAGGGGGATCGATACCCTCCGCCTCCAGATGACCTTTTTCCCCCCGCCCGCCTGTTTGTTCTTGAGTCTTTTCCTTTTGCCCATTCGATCAGCCGGGGGGGACCCCTGCTCGGCGGTTTGCCGAGGGGCTTGCCGGTGCCAAGAGTCAGCGCCAGCGCGCGGGATTCTTCGCCAGGCATGCTTGCTCGAAGCGGCCCGTGGTCCAGCCCAATTCGGTAGGCCGGCGGGTCGGCGGTCTTGAGGGAGGCCGGTTGGGGGGTCTCTGTTGCGGGGGAGAGACTGCGACATACCCCGGGCAGGATGTGTTTCTTCGATGGGTAGCGAGTGTCTCATGCATGACCGGCTGAGGGAAGAAGACGGCCTGGCGGGGATGGGGAAAGCGGATGTTGGACATCCTCAGCGAGGGATGCTACCTTGAGTGGGGTGGCGTCTTCGCGGTGGCCCGTCGCTCGGGGTCCATGCCTGCACCCGGAGAGTTGGCCCGTGGAACCCCCCCTGTGGCAGGGACCACCGGTCTTGAAGGGGGCAAAAGCCGGGCAAGAGGGGTGGGGAGGGAAGCGAGATGGGCTGCCGCTGCTGCATGCGAGCAAATGTTCCCTTCTAGTGGCGGTGCTTGCCGGGACGTCCAGGGGCCTGGTCCATGTCTGTCAGGAGGAGTGTCTTGTGGGGGTGGAGGATGGCCGACTCTGGGCAGTGATGTGCGCCGTTCACCGCGCAGACCTGGCCTTCGGCTCTCGGACACACAGGCACGGGACCGGGGGCTGATGTTGAGGGTGCCTGCCTGGTCGAGGGAGTCGGGCACTCTGGCCACGCGGAAACAAGGCCATTGCGCCGCGTGGGAATTCCAGCTGTCCCACTCGAGACGTGGCCGCTTCGACGGCGACCGGGGATCCGACTCCCAGTGCGACGACAGATACGAGTGCCTCTCGGAGGTATTCCATGGGTTAAGGTTATGGTGTTGGTGACGGCCCAGCAAAAGGAGACATCCACGAGGATTCTTGCCTGGAAGGAGGTCCGTGGGCGGCCTCTCACCGTGGGTCGGCCGATCTTCCAGAGCTGCCTCCCGGGCGGCGACTGTGAGAGGCATGAATGGGCCTGCGGATGGGCTCCCTCGCAAGGGCATCTATGGACTGACCGGCTCGAGTGGGGCCTCGATGCTCGAACTTGCAGGGCTCGGGGGGGACGCGGGAAGCCGTGCCAGCTTTGACGGCGTGCCAGACAATGGTTGGACTGGACACTGCCGATGGAATACGACGCGGCGGGGGCATCCGTGGACTCGATATCGAGCCCAACTTACGGAACGCAGCATTCCTCGAACGGATGGCGGTGGCTGTCGGCGGTGCGACTGACATGAGGACCTGCCCCCATGTCGGTGATATATTGCATGCCGCCCGCCCAGGTGCCGGGCTGAAAGACCCGCCTTCACCGGGGACTGGGGTCTCGCATTCGGCTCCCGTGTCCAGGGGGGTTCGTCCGGGCGGAGGGGCCCTCCCCAGATAGGCTCAATAAGCCCGCGATGGATCAGAGCAAAGGAGCAGACATCAATGAGCCCCATGCGACGTGAAACGAGGGCCTTTTAGCATCCTCCTGGCACGCTCGAGGCGGTGTATCGCCAGTGTTCCGAGGGGCAGCGCGCCGTCCTGGATTGCCGCTCACATGGACCTTGGCACGAGAGTCGCTGGCCAGGGATGGGGCCGTGCTGCGGGGATAGACTGTCCCCGCTTTTCACGAGGCCCTCGCGGGCCTGAAAGTCCAACAAGACACCTGGACCTGGTTCGCCGGCTCGAGGTGGCACGAGGCGCCCAATGGGCCCGACTCTCTCCGGCTGGGACGCCAGGAGCTTGGAGTGCGATCCGCATGCGACTGGTCTCCCTCCGTTGTGGCTGTCCCAGCACCCTGGGAATTGGTGGACATGTGGGGCGCGGTGGCCCCGGGGGTGAAGGACCCGCAAAATAGGTTGACTGGCCTCGTGGCTGGTGCGATGTGGACCAGACGCCGGAGTTCGGGCGGGGCAACGAACAGTGAGCAGGTCCCGCGAGGGGATGGCCGACTGGGGGGCTTGATCTGGCTCATGTCGGTGACACGTCCATGCGCATCTGTACATGGACCTGGGTGCCGAACAACTCCGAGGAAATGGGGGCGAGGTAGCACATCACGCTGGTAATAGAAAAGGGCCCTCCTGGTCCACGATATCCCCCAGGCATTCGGTGGTGGACCGGGGCATCCAGCCAGCAGGCCGGGGCCGGGGTTGCCGAGCGTTTGTGCTCGGGGTCGTGCCCGCCAGAGGAAGGTGGAG